TCGATGCCTGAAGTGGGGGGCTGTAACACCTCCAAGACTTTTTCTATTGAAACTGTTGATATTCTTATTCTCTTCGTTGGAATGCTGATCAGTTTTCTGAGCTTCAATGAACAGCTAATATGACCTTGGGTATAATTATTACAGAATGAGAGAACTTTCATTTGATCGGCCTTTCAGAATGTTTTTAACATTCAAAAAGACCATAGATTCTTTCTACATAATAAGGCGTGGACATCTTATCTGCGTGGTAATTGATTAAAAAGTAAATTGGAACCCTTGCCTGATTCAAGTAACGATTGGCTAAGATTTTGCATGTGATTAGTTTCGAGTGTGGCGTGAGTTTTCTTAGTTGATCCCAACGTGGCTTAGTGAAGCAAAACTCTTGCAAATCAAACCAATTGACTTACGTCGTGAAAATAATTTCCTGTTTCGATCAATGTCCTCATCTCACCATGTTGGGTATCAGTGACTGAATAGAACTGCTCTATCACGTCCTTCATCGACTGAAGATTTGTGATTATCATAATTCCCATTGCTATTACACATATGGATTTGGAAGTCTCTTTCACATGTTTTCGGCTAAATCCGTCACGCGAGTAGCGTTTTAAAGTTTAAATAGACCAACACGAGTTATTGTCGAGGCCCATAAAAACGGAAAACAGATGGATGCTAATATCCAGCAATTCGATCTCTCCTGTATGTGAGGCCTTCCTAACGGGCTAGGGGAGGGGAGGGGGAGAAGAGAAAGTAAGTTTCGTCCTTTCGCTCTCTCCCTTTCTCGCTTCTCTCTTACCTTTCCCCCAGAAACGCTGCTAGAAACGCCCGATACTCAGGCTAAATTCGATCGAACAGACTTGGTCAGTAACAGGTTCATCCTGTAGCAAGAAATACTTCGATGCTATAAGAATGACTTGTTTATTTCGAAGTTTGAAGCTCAATAAACCCAAGAATCGTTTAATGTGCTCTTTGTTCTTCGCTTTTTTGACGACTCCATTCTTTTCCTTGCGCGCGATAAAAGCGGGCGATCACAAGCCGGCAAGATGAGCCCGCGGCCCAGGTAGCCAATCAAACAGGCTGTTGCGCTCCTTATGTTAAAACAGATCGACATATTTAATTCACTGGTCGATAACAACTGGCATCACCCAGAAAAAATCATGAGACAAAGCTCTGGAGGTCACAAACTAGGAGCCTAATTAGGGGCAGTACGCTTTCCTTCTTCGGAAACTTGTGTTCCTGTATGCCTCGTCACGTCAGAAATAAGTTCATTTGTAAACAATGCAGTACACAAAGAATACTACTGCTCGAGCTTTTAAATTGCTGTAAGCGATTTCTCCCCCCAAAAAGTGTTATCTTTAGTTCCTCTCGACCCAAACAAATAACCTGGAATGGGCAGATACTCATAAGTTTAAGTGTGTGTATGCTGACTATCTTTGGATAATTGCTTTCACCATGATAGTTTTATTTGTTTGCACGCATGCCACAAAAATAGAGAACTTTCGTTTCACTTTCAAGAACTGTCAAAAAGGTCATGGCTCATGAATAGTATCGTTTACCTGTTTGCATAAGAAACATATAACAGACATATAAATAAAACGGATACAGATTTGTGTTGTTTCAGAAAATAGACTTGACCTCTTTTTCTCCACCCGCCTCCATGTTCATTTCCACACCATATTACCCTTCTCCTTTCTCTTTAAAATTCACCGCAGAAGCCGTGAAGAGTGTTCC